TGCGCAACAATTAATTTACGACAATATCAACTAAATCATACTGATGGATACATGCCACAACTTTTCACATAAGTATCCATTACAGCAGGACTAACTCCATATGTTCCCACTGCCTTCTCTTCAGGGTGATGTGCTTTCAAGAACTGTAACAAACTACCATTGTATTCACTCAAAACATTTGCTAATGAAGATGATGTGATAAATTGCATCACACCATGATCTGAACCAGTGGGCAGAACTTTATAGGGTGTCAATTTGAGATCTAAATTCTCTTTTCTCAAAAGCCTGTCCATAAGCGTGATAATTTGAATGACGAGTTGATCTTGACGAAGATCATCACCAGTTTTAAATATAACCTAATAAATGGAAAATTGATAACAAAGCTTACAAATAATACATGTAATAAAGGTACAATTCTTTGTTTATTCTTACCGGATACTCTCCACCATCAGCTAGTGTAAAAGTCAGTCTTAATGGGAACAAATTGCTCTTAAATACCGTGGCTTTTTCTAAAACAGTAATATTCAATATGATGCCTTAAATACGACATACAAGCTAAGATAATAAACTGACCTGGAATTATACCAGTAACTTCTACACGGGCGTCAAGTGGTAAAGGCAAAGGTGGAAATTGCAATAAGCCATTCTTAGGATCTGATATTATTGCCCTAAGTCTTTCAATCTATTTATTTTTATGTTAGATATCGTTAAGAAATAATATCACAAGTTACTGCACAAGAATTAAAAGTAAATACTTTTTTAGGTCTAGCCTCTTTCATCATGCGAATTTCTTTAGATATAGACGAAAGTGCAACAACCAACTCTCCTTGCCGACGAAGTATATCTCGTCGATCGAGACCCGTCGGGATCTAAAATATATCAAAAAGTTGTGAGAAAACAGGTAATACAATTAGTAAAAAAACTAGGTACTGGTTAAAGAATACCTCCTTCATGGCTTTCATGAACTGAAAAGAAATTTTGCCATACATTTTGCCAACTACTTTATCCTCACATTCAACCATGAGATACCTATAAATGTATCATTAATTTGTTATTTATGACCGAAAAAATTTTTATTCATTATAATCAAATTTTTACCAATAAAAGTTATTCCCTAAAATGGGATTTTTAATCGCCCTTTCAATTAAGAATTCCGCCAAGCTAGATTCATGTGATGTGCTAGATTTATCACTAATATTTTCAAATTTTAAAGCTTGAACAAGCTGTAACAAATATAATAACAGTTCCTGATATTTGATAGATGATTTAGATTAAAAAAAAGTCAATTCAATTATAAACTTATTAAATAATCACAATGCCAACCTCGTCATCTGCTTTTTTCAATTGACTGACGGCATATCCACGAACAGACCGGTTCTCAAAATTAGCACCCAATAGTTCAAGAGCATCATCCAAGTCTATATCAGCCCATTGAGGTAATAGTTCAACAGCCTGTTTTACCTCAGTTGGGTCAGTCCAGACAACACACTTTAAGAATTTAGTAAGCGCC